CTCCCTGCTGCCCCTCTTCTCCCTGCTGCCCCTCTACTCCCTGCTGCCCCTCTACTCCCTGCTGCCCCTCTACTCCCTGCTGCCCCAAGGCTAGGCCTTGGTTGGCCTTGTGGGAAATCCGGCCCTGCCATGACGGGTTCTCTTATATTTGGGGAGGTAAATAAGGGATATTGGGCACCTGGTGGTGAGAATGGAGTCAGCGGGCGAGTTTTCAGGCGTGATTTATTTCTGAATTATCTTACATTCCAGTGCCGCCCCAGCTGGTGACCCGTCCGCGAGACCAGATTGTCGTCCAAGGCCGCACCGTCACCTTCCAGTGCGAGACCAAAGGGAACCCGCCGCCCGCCGTGTTCTGGCAGAAGGAGGGGAGTCAGGTCAGTGTGATGTCATCATGATGATGTCCTGTGTGGGAGCCAATCAGGAATCAGTTTACACTGAGCTCGGCTCTGATCTTTTCATTGTTACTAACGTACTTATTTCCTCATGTAATACAATGTATCATTATGTGTCATATATACAGAATCAGATTTATGTACATGTGATCACTCTGAGAGTTTCGATTGGCTAAGACGTCAGGTGAGCTCCCGCCCTATCAGATCGGGTGCAGATTGCTGTGTCTGGCCGTAGATGGGCCGGGGTCATATATCTGCCCGCTGTGGTGGCATCAACAAAAATCTGTCACTTCCTGTATCACAAAACATTGAAACGCCGACATCACCCTCCTATCAGAGCTCAGACGTGAATATTGTAGAAACCCCCCCAAAAAAACAACATCATACATGGCAGCTCACCCATCCTGAGATGTGGCGGCTGCATTAGTTTTCTTTTTTTAGGCTCCTCCCCTTTACTTTCACCTGGTGATCCTGCCAGTAACACAAGTCCTGTCCTAGGGTGTCAACGCTCACTCACTGTGCTGTATCTATGGAGGAGCAGAGTTGTCACCCTGGCACAGGACTTCAGAATACCTCCCGCTATCCTCACCTCCATAACTTAGGGGGTGTTCTGTAGTCCTCAGAAGGGAACTGGGAACAATGTAACTGAGTGCAGCACAGGAAGTTATCAGCTCACTGGATTTCTGGCAGGATCAACAGGAATTATTTGTAACAGAAGTTAGAAGTTCATTGTTGGGGATCACATACTGTTTGGGGCTCGTTCACACCAACACAAGGCCACCCCAATACCATTGCTGCCCAGTTCACACCAACGCGAGGCCGCCCCAATACCATTGCTGCCCAGTTCACACCAACACAAGGCCACCCCAATACCATTGCTGCCCAGTTCACACCAACACAAGGCCACCCCAATACCATTGCTGCCCAGTTCACACCAACACAAGGCCGCCCCAATACCATTCGTGCCCAGTTCACACCAACGCAAGGCCGCCCCAATACCATTGCTGCCCAGTTCACACCAACATAAGGCCGCCCCAATACCATTGCTGCCCAGTTCACACCAACATAAGGCCGCCCCAATACCATTGCTGCCCAGTTCACACCATTGGGTGCAGACATGCCAGGATTTGTGCAGCACAGAGAAAACAAATGCGTTACAACGTGCGCCAACTGGTCGCCGCGCATACAAATACACAGACGTTGGTGGAGGATAAATAAATCACTCCAGTGCGTTTTATAGATCCCTGACCGTTATTGATTGTTTCATGTACCAGGCCGCACTGATCTCATTCATTTGTGCTGAGTGGCCATTCAGGAATGTGGTTTTGTCTCAGCGCCCCATGTCGGCCCCTCTGACAGCATCGTATATCTTGTGGGCTCTCATCAGGTCTGAGAGGTTGTGTTTGGGTCAGGTCAGAGATTAACCACCCAAGACGGGGGCTGGATTGACGTGTTTACATAGGAAATGTGACCCATCGGCTCCATCTCTGCCAGAGGGGATTGTGTGCTCAGCATAGGGAAGCGACCGTGGCCGGAAAGGCTTAGGGAGGCCCATAGACACTACAATCTGATTGTACGATCTTCACCAAAACTGTATAATAGGAGGACAAGACAAGCCCTAGAAGTCCATCCAGCACTGACCCCTCCATCACATCGCTGTCATTGTGCAATCAGATTGTATTGTGTATGTCAGCAAATATCAGCAGCACCGAAAGCCAAAAGCAAGCTGCTGACGCCGGACGTTCTCCAGCAAGTCAGTAAATTGTATCGATTTTAATATTTGATCCAAAAGAACAATTCTGTGCTACCTAAAGGAAAGGCAGCAGTCCAAAGTACTTTAATCTGGCAGAAATCCAGCGAGCTCCTGACTGTTGGGCTGACAAATCTGCCTCTGTTGCAGTAAAATCCCGAGCCCTGTTCGCATCTGCGGACTACAGAGCACCGCTTTCCCGTCACCAACATAACAGGTGCTCTGGGCATCGGTTGTCATCGCGCTGGATTTCTGGCAGATCTACGGATCTTGTTCTGTACTTGCAGCTTTCATAACCCTTTCCCAATAGGCATATGCATACGTGGTGGCCATAGTCCATGCTGGGATCATGCTCTGTCACCGACAGGCGCTTCGGATCACATGACCAGTGCCGCAGCCAGTCACAGTGATCACATGATCAGTGCCGCAGCCAGTCACGGTGATCACATGATCCGTGCCGCAGCCAGTCAGGTGATCACATGATCAGTGTCGCAGCCAGTTACAGTGATCACATGATCAGTGCCGCGGCCAGTTACAGTGATCACATGATCAGTGCCGCGGCCAGTTACAGTGATCACATGATCAGTGCCGCGGCCAGTTACAGTGAACACATGATCAGTGCCGCAGCCTGTCACGGTGATCACATGATCAGTGCCGCAGCCAGTTACGGCGATCACATGATCGGGAAGCTCCTGCAGAATTGAGAGCTCTTAAAGGGCCGGTAGAAAGGGGTTAAAGGGGAGAAAGGTGCAGGTATCACAGAGATGTAATAAATGTTTTTTTATCCCTCCCAGACATAAACTTTAATACCGCTTGTTAATTAGATTTAGGTTTTTTGCTGATTGGCGGTGCGTCCCCCTCCCCCGCCCTCTGCCTCTGGGTCCTAATAAAAATAATAGAGTCTCCCATTACTGGGTCTTTTTAGCAAGATAAATAAACAGAGAGAGAGAGAGTCCTATAAAGGGGGAGTCGGGGGGCCCTTTGAGGTCGGCCTGGAATGCACCTTTTTATTATCTGATATTCCTGAGTAAACAGCCCGAATTACAGCCACTGTGTTAAGTAAACGGCAGGTTGTGTATTCAGGAATAAAACACAAAGCGCTCCCCTGACCCGGCCGTATCGTAAATTTGGAGCTCTGGGGCCGCCGTGTCAAGGCCGCGGCTGTAATGAACACCGGCTTTATTTTCTGTGTCAGCAAACAGAGCCGGCTCGGAGGTGGGGCGCTGCCGCCGCGCTCTTTTGTTCTGTGTGAACGCGCCAAGATTGGTTCACGTTTGTTCCTCGGCTCCACAATACGCATAACGATCCTTCGTCCTCGTACAACCCGTCATCTGGCCCGCTTCAGACGCGGCCGTCGCACAATTTGGCCCATTTGGGATTTTTCAGGATTTAGTCGGAATAAAATTCTGGAAAATGGCTGTAGAGACAAAGGGCCTTTCCCCGGAACATGTGACGCGGGTCACGGACCTGTCAGCACTCAGCCTGGGAGGGGGGGGGGACCCTTCTAGAAGGTCATTCCAAATATTTGTCCTCTCTATCACTGGAATGAAGCCTAAGGCCCCGTTCACATTGAGCGATTTATCGCGCGGTAATTCCCGCGATATCGCGGCAATTTACAGCGCGATATCGCTCTCCAATGCTTCTCAATGGGGCAAAGGGTCCTGCTGTCGCGGGTCGTGCGTCGCTACAGCAGGACCCTTTTTGGAGCGCATTTAGCCGCGATTCAAGCTTGCTCAATGCGATATCGCGCAAAATGCAAATCGCGTGACAAACGCGCGATTTGCGAATCGCGCAGTGTGAATGGGGCCTCAGTGATTGGCCCAGGCAGACAAATATCCATAACTAATTCCATTGTATGTCCTCACTCTCTGTACTGGGGACAACTTGCCAGCAGCAGGCAGAATGGATCAATGTTCTGAGCTCAGGAGGAACCCAACGGACACAGAGGTCAGGCAGAGCTCAGGCTGGTTACGGTCTGGCTGCAAACACTACATTTGGCTAAGGACACTTCAGTTTAAGACATGACCTCTATGGGCCTTAGTATGGGCGCAGGTTAGGGTTGCCACCTTCTCTTCCAGCGAAACCCAAACACACTAGCGACGCACGGAAATGTTTTTGGGAGATTGAGTCGCGGCTTATTCATATGTAAATATCACAGTGGAGACTATTATTTGGGGGAGGGGGGCACAGCACAGCAGCAGCCGCCCCTATCTTCATTTCGGTTGCCTCTGTCTGCCTGACATCATGTGACACAGCATTCAAAACCCGGACCGTCCGGGTGAATCCTGGACAGGTGGCAACCCTAGCCCAGGTCGAGTTTTATGGTTCCCCCTCCAAGCTAAATATTCAGATTTGAGCGACTAATAAAAATGTTTTTTTACTAATAATGTCTTTTATTGTTTTATTTCTTGTTCTATATATATATATATTTGTAGACTGTAATAACGTCTTCCATCATGTTCTAATATACGCTACATTGTAAAGTTCGGACCAGACTGCCCCGTGTATCTTCACGTATGGCGAATACTTTGTAGCAGCCAACGGAACTCCAATGCAGCCAATGAGAATTGTGCGTTCTGTTTTCAGATATTGCTGTTCCCCAGCCAGCCGCCGCAGACCGTGGGCCGCTTCTCCGTGTCGCCCAGCGGGGAGTTAACCATCATTGACGTCCAGACGGGGGACTCCGGATACTACATGTGCCAAGCCATCAGCGTGGCCGGGAGCATCCTGGCAAAAGCACTCCTGGAAGTGGAAGACGGTAAGCGGATAATGGAGGTTATTTTGTATCACAAATGTTGTGTTAAAGCCCAACTGAATTTTGTTGAAATTGGCTGAATACATTCCAGACGTAGAGAAGCCCCTCCCCTTCCAGCATGCTGCAGAGGATGACCCCTGCTCTCTGTGTGGAAGCAGTGGTCTCTCTGCAGAGGTCGGACATCCTACCTTCCGCTATCTGTGATGTGGAGGCAGTGGTCTCTCTGCAGAGGTCGGACATCCTACCTTCCGCTATCTGTGATGTGGAGGCAGTGGTCTCTCTGCAGAGGTCGGACATCCTAAAACAGGGATAACCAAACTCCGGCCCTCCAGCTGTGGGTGAAACTACAAATCCCATGATGCATCTCTCTCCGGGAGTCATGTCTGCCGCTGTGAGAATCTTGCAATGCCTCATGGGATTTCTAGTTCCACCACAGCTGGAGGGCCGGAGTTTGGTTACCCCTGTCCTTCCTCTCTCTGTGTGGAAGCAGTGGTCTCTCTGCAGAGGTCGTACATCCTAAAACCTGACGGCATGCTGCAGAGAAGTCTCCTGCTATCCGTGATGTGGAGGCAGTGGTCTCTCTGCAGAGGTGTGGCACCCCACAATCTAAGCATAGAAGCCTGCAAACATGCTGCAGAGAAGTCTCCTGCTATCTGTGATGTGGAGGCAGTGGTCTCTCTGCAGAGGTGTGGCACCCCACAATCTAAGCATAGAAGCCTGCAAACATGCTGCAGAGAAGTCTCCTGCTATCTGTGATGTGGAGGCAGTGGTCTCTCTGCAGAGGTGTGGCACCCCACAATCTAAGCATAGAAGCCTGCAAACATGCTGTAGAGAAGTCTCCTGCTATCTGTGTGGTCTCTCTGCAGAGGTGTGGCACCCCACAATCTGAGAAGAAAAGCCTGTCCCCTGCCAACATGCTGCAGAGAAGGACCCTTGCTCCCTTCATGGAAGCAGTGGTCTCTCTGCACAGATCAGACATGCCCGCTAGAGCTCTTCAGTCGGCAGAAAGCTTGAGGTTTGTTGAATGGGGAGCTCTATCTCTGACTCGGTGAAAGGGGGGGGGAGGGGAGGGGCACCTCTGCAGAGAGAACAGTGCAAGTTTTCTCATTGCCCAAAAAAGCCCAACAAAAGATCTGGAGTTTCATTGGTTTCATGACTTTCCGTGGCCGGGAAATGTTCCACAACGTAAAGAAATCCCAATCATTTATCCCTTTCAATAGCTTCCAAAATGAAATATACATTAAGGATTTGTCAGTTGTCATGACAACCTTTACATTGAAGCAGGTGTCCCCACCGCTCATGTCTACACCAACCCACAGGAACCTTCTATAAATACTGTGGATGGGACACACGGCAGAATGTTCGGTGGTGTTTGCACCCAACACAGATGAAGACGAGGAGTGGGCCGCGGATCTCGTCTGGTTCTCCAGAATGAAATGTTTATTCCGAAAATGGCTCCAAACTCCGAAACAGATTTTTACATTTCTATTATTGCAAAAGTGTTGACAGGTGACGAGCCGACAGGCGGGTAGAATGGAGCTGTTTTCGTTGATGGATGGCAGAGAGAATATTTTCACGTGGCGGCCATTTTGTTCCCGAGAGTGCGGCCAATCAATTTAGTAGAATCTAGCGACATCGCCAAAACCGACTAAAAGGACGTGCCTGCCTGCCGAGGGCCTCCAATAATTATCTTCTGCAACTGGGGGACCCGTTATATAAAGCTCTTTGGCTGCCGGTGTCCTTGTTTTCGGTGTGGACTTAAATCTTCATCTGGTAACAATGACCTGAGGCCCACATGTGGCCCTTGGTAATTGTTGTGCGGCCCTCAGACCCCAAAAGGCTGTAGTGGGAGTGGAAGCATTGATTTGTAAAGTGGTAACAGCCGTGAGTGTAATACTTCCTCCATCTCTCAATGTCTTCTGTAATATGTCCCCAGTCTCTGACCACACCTGTAATATGTCCCCAGTCTCTGACCACACCTGCAGCGTGTCCCCAGTCTTCCACCATCAATTCATCTGAAGTCTTTCTTAGCTTTATATATACTGAATATTATGTTTGGCCCTTTGGTAATGCGGTCAAGGGCCACATATACCTTCTAGGTGGACAACCACTGCCTTAGTCCATCATCATTGGTTCAGAATTCAGAATGGCCGCCCTCGTGTTTCTCGCTGTTTGTAGTTGATCGATAAGCTGATTCCTCTTCATCATTACTTCTCAATACAAAATGGCGTCCCTCATGGTGCGCAGTGATCTCGCTATCCTTGGTAATTGATGGGCTCATGAAGAAAAGATGGCCGCCCTGTTCGGAAAGCCGTCGTCATTCTCTTGCCGTTCTTTAGCTGATAATGATAATAATATCAGAATTCTGACTTTTCATCCTAAACCATCAAATCTCTTTTCTGTCATCAGCTACATCAGATCGCGTTCCACCGATTATCCGCCGAGGGCCGGCCAATCAGACGCTGGCGGTGGACTCTATGGTGAAGATGCAGTGCCATGTGACCGGCAATCCTCTGCCCAGCACCCACTGGCTGAAAGGCGGGCAAAGGGTCGGCGGCAGCGATCCGCGGGTCAGCGTCCTGGACAATGGAACTCTCCAGATCACCCATCTACAGGTTGGTCCCCGCTGATCCACTGTAGACCTCAGATCATGAATTGGTGACTTTTCTAAAAATAACCAGTCGCCCTAGGATGGTGTGGGAGCGTTGTCACCCTAGGATGGTGTGGGAACGTTGTCACCCTAGGATGGTGTGGGAGCATTGTCACCCTAGGATGGTGAGGGAGGGTTGTCACCCTAGGATGGTGTGGGAGCGTTGTCACCCTAGGATGGTGAGTGGGCATTGTCACACTAGGATGGTGTGGGAGCGTTGTCACCCTAGGAGGCTGGGTGGGTGTTGCCACTCTAGAACGGTGATGGAGCGTTGTCACCCTAGGATGGTGATGGAGCGTTGTCACCCTAGGATGGTGAGGGTGAGTTGTCACCCTAGGAAGGTGAGGGAGCGTTTATACCCCAGGATGCCGATGGAGCATTGAGCGTTGTCACTCTAGAATGGTGAGGGAGCGTTGTCACCCTGGGAGGCTGGGTGGGCGTTGCCACTCTTGGATGGTGAGGGGTGAGTCGTCACCCTAGAATGGCGAGTGAGCGTTGTCACCCTAGGATGGTGTGGTAGCGTTGTCACCCTAGGATGGAGCATTGAGCATTGTCACTCTAGAATGGTGAGGGAGCGTTGTCACCCTGGGAGGCTGGGTAGGCGTTGCCACTCTAGGATGGTGAGGGGTGAGTCGTCACCCTAGAATGGCGAGTGAGCGTTGTCACCCTAGGATGGTGTGGTAGCAATGTCACCCTAGGATGGCGAGTGAGCGTTGTCACCCTAGGATGGTGTGGTAGCAATGTCACCCTAGGATGGCGAGTGAGCGTTGTCACCCTAGGATGGTGTGGTAGCAATGTCACCCTAGGATGGCGAGAGAGCGTTGTCACCCTAGAACAGGAAGTGTTTTACTGGCAGGATCACCAGGGGAAAATAAAGGAAGAAAGCCTAAAAACAGGAAACGAATGCGGCCGCCACATCTCGGGTCCGGTAATCTGCGATATGTAACATTCTTCTTCCTGGGATCAGATACATTTTATCTCCACACTTTGTAAAACTGTGACAATGAACAGAAGTTGTGACACATATTGTATGAAATGTTGTATCCTCGGACAACACCCGTCCTGTTCTCGGCTATCCCCTGTCACCCCGGCGTGCCCGTCCTGTTCTCGGCTATCCCCTGTCACCCCGGCGTGCCCGTCCTGTTCTCGGCTATCCCCTGTCACCCCGGCGTGCCCGTCCTGTTCTCGGCTATCCCCTGTCACCCCGGCGTGCCCGTCCTGTTCTCGGCTGATAACTCCGCCAGACGCCGGCCAGTGGCGAGCCTCGGATCACCGCACCTCCTGATCGGGAATGATTTACATATCGCTTAGCGCTCCGCCTGATTGGTGATTAGCGGAGAACTTTCCGCTCTTTATTTAAATATTAATGTCGCTCATGATAAAGGAATGAGCTGCCGCGGCTCATTAGCGTTCATTTCCATCGGCGATGAGGACGGGCGCGTGGATGGAGAGAACGCAAAACTTCTCCCTAATTGCACTTCATGTGAATGATCGCTGCAGATTAGTGCGGGAAGTGATGAATGGACGGGGAAGGACTGGCGGCACTGCCCTCCCAATGAGATTACTGCCAGGAAGTCATCTGTGTGCAGAAGAATGCCTTCCTTCCAGGGGTCAGGAATTCATCTTTTCTGCAGCGTGTCCCCGGTCTCTGACCAGACCTGCAGCGTGTCCCCGGTCTCTGACGAGACCTGCAGCGTGTCCCCGGTCTCTGACCAGACCTGCAGCGTGTCTCCGGTCTCTGACCACACCTGCAGCGTGTCCCTCGTCTCTGACCACACCTGCAGCGTGTCCCCAGTCTCTGACCACACCTGCAGCGTGTCCCCCGTCTCTGACCACACCTGTAATATGTCCCCAGTCTCTGACCACACCTGTAGCGTGTCCCCAGTCTCTGACCACACCTGTAATGTGTCCCCAGTCTCTGACCACACCTGTAGCATGTCCCCAGTCTCTGACCACACCTATAGCATGTCCCCAGTCTCTGGCCAAACCTGTAGCGTGTCCCCAGTCTCTGACCACACCTGTAATATGTCCCCAGTCTCTGACCACAACTGTAATATGTCCCCAGTCTCTGACCACACCTGTAGCGTGTCCCCAGTCTCTGACCACACCTGTAATATGTCCCCAGTCTTCCACCATCAATTCCTCTGAAGTCTTTTCTAGCTTTATATATGCTGATTATTATGTTTGGCCCTTTGGTAATGCGGTCAAGGGCCACATATACCTTCTAGGTGGACAACCACTGCCTTAATCCATGCAAGAGGAAGAATGATCAGAATTATTGGATTTTCCCGGCTCAGCCAACCCCCCCATCCCTTAAATCTTCATCTGGTAACAATGACCTGAGGCCCACATGTGGCCCTTGGTAATTGTTGTGCGGCCCTCAGACCCCAAAAGGCTGTAGTGGGAGTGGAAGCATTGATTTGTAAAGTGGTAACAGCCGTGAGTGTAATACTTCCTCCATCTCTAAATGTCTTGTGCAGCGTGTCCCCAGTCTCTGACCAAACCTGCAGCGTGTCCCCAGTCTCTGACCAAACCTGCAGCGTGTCCCCAGTCTCTGACCACACCTGCAGCGTGTCCCCAGTCTCTGACCACACCTGTAGCGTGTCCCCAGTCTCTGACCACACCTGTAATATGTCCCCAGTCTCTGACCACAACTGTAATATGTCCCCAGTCTCTGACCACACCTGTAGCGTGTCCCCAGTCTCTGACCAGACCTGTAATATGTCCCCAGTCTTCCACCATCAATTCCTCTGAAGTCTTTTCTAGCTTTATATATGCTGATTATTATGTTTGGCCCTTTGGTAATGCGGTCAAGGGCCACATATACCTTCTAGGTGGACAACCACTGCCTTAATCCATGCAAGAGGAAGAATGATCAGAATTATTGGATTTTCCCGGCTCAGCCAACCCCCCCATCCCTTAAATCTTCATCTGGTAACAATGACCTGAGGCCCACATGTGGCCCTTGGTAATTGTTGTGCGGCCCTCAGACCCCAAAAGGCTGTAGTGGGAGTGGAAGCATTGATTTGTAAAGTGGTAACAGCCGTGAGTGTAATACTTCCTCCATCTCTAAATGTCTTGTGCAGCGTGTCCCCAGTCTCTGACCAAACCTGCAGCGTGTCCCCAGTCTCTGACCTAACCTGCAGCGTGTCCCCAGTCTCTGACCAGACCTGTAATATCTCCCCAGTCTCTGACCAAACCTGCAGCGTGTCCCCAGTCTCTGACCTAACCTGCAGCGTGTCCCCAGTCTCTGACCAGACCTGTAATATCTCCCCAGTCTCTGACCAAACCTGCAGCGTGTCCCCCGTCTCTGACCACACCTGCAGCGTGTCCCCATCTCTGACCAAACCTACAGCATGTCCCCAGTCTCTGACCAAACCTACAACGTGTCCCCAGGCTCTGACCAAACCTGCAGCGTGTCCCCCGTCTCTGACCAGACCTATAATATGGTGTGGTCAGAGACTGGGCACACGCTGCAGGTGTGGTCAGAGACTGGGGATACGTGTACATGTGATTGTTCAGGAGCACATTTGGGGTCATTCCTTGCTGTATACGGCTTTCTTAAGCAAGCAATTTTTTCAAGAATCTGTTGCAAATGTTTTACCTGGAGATCCCGCCAGTAACGGGACGTCCTATTGCAGTGTGACAACGCCGAGCCCCTTCCTCTCCATAGCCAGCAGCGTTGTCAGACTATAGTGCAGGCTCCTTCAGTTGGTTGCTGATCAGGTCTATGCATTGCTCCTGATGACCTAAAGGGAAACCCAACTGCCAACTGAAGGAGCAAACATGGCGGGCTGTCCATTGTAAGGCGGGGCTTAGCCTTGTCAGCCTGAAACAGGAAGCGCTGTTATTGGCGGAATTGCCGGGGAAGAAACTTTGTAACAAATACGCAAAAAAAAAACCCTGTATACAGCAAGATGGCAGACGTGGCAAGAAATCGATGGATGGTGTACATACCCTTTAAGGTGTTCCCAGGATGGCGCGATCTGTACAGATTCATGCGTCGCAAATGTACGAAAATGCGTTCGGGGCGTTCTTGAGCGTCGTATGTCACGTGAGCGGATGGTGCGTTCACTCGACACTGCCACATACATCTCTCTATGAACAGTAGATGGCAGAGGACATGCTGGGACTTTTAGTCCCCCTCAGCGGCTGCATTTTACCCGTTCCCATCCTAGGCGCGGCTCCCTACCAGACACCA